AAGCTGCGCACCGCCGCGCCGCCAGCCCGAGCTGTTGGCGTTACCCAGCCACGAGCACGTGACGTGTCGTGTCGGCGGCCGCCGCTGACCGCCCGATAGCACGGCTCCCTATCAGCAACGGCTGCAGCTCCCGCAAACCGCCGCGCCGGGCGGACGGAAGGACGGGGCGGGAGGGAGCTACGGAGAGCCCTACTAACCAGCCTGAGCCATAACAATGGTTTGCGCATTTCTGTCAAACCACATTTAGCATTCTGAAAATCTACGCCCATGCAAAAGCAGCGGTTCCGTTGATGTCGGATGCCATGTTTTGCAGTGAACTTTTTTGTGCCGTTTGCAGCTTTCAGGCGAGATTGTTATTTACGACTGCCCCTGAAATCGGTTACAGGTCACACCGGCCCAGGCACAATCACGGCTGAACCGACCAGCCGGCGCCGCCCATCAGTGTGGCCAAATTGGTGATGTTGCGGGGAAATTCACCCCCAATGAAAAGTATAATGACATCCTCAGAAATTTTAAAATTACATCATCACAACGTTTTTGTTGTGAAAGCATACCTAGTGAAGGAATAAAGACTAAAAATGTTCCAATGTACGATTCACACCGTCATACTCGTACTGTCGCGCTTGCAATGTTTTTTTTCATCTTTGATGACAATATTTGATTTTTTTTACTTTTCGCCAGATTTTGACGTCAGGTATAGTTTTTCCACATAACTTGTAAAAACTGCACCTAAAATGACACTGAAGACGAGTTTTTTGAAAATAGTGACATCCTCATACAACTTTTTTATACATCCTCCCCCCTAACGCTAAACCAATTTGGCCACACTGCCGCCCATCTCCCACGGGCCGTGAGCCGTGGCCGTGCGGTGGGCGCGCGCACCGTGGCCACGCGGCCGCCGGGCCTTGTCTTCTGTCCGGCGGACCGCGACGGCCGGCAGCCAGAGGCTCTCGGGCCGGCACCAAACCGCGGCATCAAAAGGAATAGAGAGAGATGGCGAGACATCCGGAACAACGAGAGAAGAGGAGAAAGAATTGGGATGGACCATCAAAAGATTTCGGAAAATGTGTATTCCACAAGCAGGATAACATATGCCTATTGCCTAATGATGAATGTCAAAACACAACACCAGAGAAGTTTCTTAAGCAGTTCAGCTCAAATAAGGGAAGCTCACCGACACTGCCCTTTATGACGGTACACGTAAATAGTACCTAACACATGTCTAACGAGTGACGTGTCGCGCATGTGCAATGCAAAAGCCATCGCAAAAATGCAATACCGCCGTAACATTGCGCACCTGTTGGACCTGATGGGATGGACCATCAAAAGATTTCGGAAAATGTGTATTCCACAAGCAGGATAACACATGCCTATTGCCTAATGATGAATGTCAAAACACAACACCAGAGAAGTTTCTTAAGCAGTTCAGCTCAAATAAGGGAAGCTCACCGACACTGCCCTTTATGACGGTACACGTAAATAGTACCTAACACATGTCTAACGAGTGACGTGTCGCGCATGTGCAATGCAAAAGCCATCGCAAAAATGCAATAGGTACCGCCGTAACATTGCGCACCTGAACCAGCGTCACTGCCGCGGTCGGCCAGAGCGCAGGCCGGCGGGGGCGTGGCTGCGGAGCGCGGCCGGCTGAGCGGCGCGGTGCGGGCAGCAGAGGCGTTGAGCCGAGCGGTGCGGGCAGCGGAGGCGCCGTAAGCACCTCCAACTGCGCAGTAACAGCGGGCGACCAGCCGCTGAGGCCGGAGGCGCCACGCGGTTTACCAGCACGTGGTCACCGCCGCCCCCAAAGAAACCGAGCAGCGACCGCGGCGGACCGCAGGGCACGCCGACCGCTCGGAGACCGAGAAACGGCGTGATAGTCACGGGAGAGACGTGATCATTACAAAGCTTCACCGGCAGGATAGAATATGACCTCCCGTAGCACAGGAATTAAATTAGGTATGGGCATTTTTCACACATTTTCCATTTTATTAGCGTCAATATGTCCTGAGCTGCCGGCTGTCATGAAATCTCGGTAAGTTCAAACAAATGCTACGAGAATAAATTTGGCGAGAGACCAGTCAGCACCCGAATGCAAACCGGTGAATAGAATGAGATCGACATCGCATCTTTCGCACTCCGAAGGTCAGAAGAAGAGGTACGTCATCGTGTCACAAGGTCAGCCCACAACAGTCTTCGAAGCCGTTACGCTCACTGCTCAGCCTCTCCTCTGGCCGCCGGGTCGTGCTGACCACTGATGGCCCAGGCAGCGTCCACGATGTGTGCTACGTCGCACGATGGGGCACCGCCCCTCCCAGCGACGTCCCGCCCCTCCAGCGCAGTCAGTCAAACAAACCGCGTGTGTTGTGTCCCAAGCACTGTTTACAGGCGATTGGATCCAGACGCTCCGAGATACATGTCACGGAACGCGTAACAGAAGTGCCACCACAGCCTGGCTAGAATAAGAGACGGAACAAAAGAGCTACCGAGCGCAGTCTCCACAGCAGCATTGGCATAAGTAGTGTTTGATTGAACATTACCTAAAAGTGTCCCCTATTCCAGAATCCTTGGATTTCACTGTAATATGTGTTCCTGTGTAATCTACTACGTTCGTGTATGTTACTAATTTTTTCAAGCGACGAAAAAGTACACAAATTTCGGACGCCATTGACATGACAAATTTCCCAGATTGCCCTGGATCCACCAGTGTCTTGCGCGTAGCCGGCGGCCCATTTTTGGCCCGTTTTCCCTAACAGTTGAATTAAAAACGATGAAAAGGAAAATCAGTGGTTATGGCAAGCTATGACGCATGGAAACCACCGAACCGCTATCAGATGACAAATATTGTTAAGTTAGAATATAGGAAACCAATATCTATTCGTTACATGCATTTATGCAAGGGCGCATATAGCACACACTACCGCGATACCTCTGTTTATGAATGACAAGAACGGATCGGCATTGTACATATTTGGTAACTAAACACAGCCAAGAGATACCGAGTCCAAGGGCCGTCACCCGGGCGGAGGCCAGAGGAGGTGCAAGGTGGGGCTAGAGGGCTGCGGTAGAGAGTAGAGTTAGAGGGCAGCAGTGAAGGGTGCAGTCAGAGGCAGGGCTGCGGAGTCGGAGTCGGAGGCAGTCAGAGTCGATAGTTCTGCCCGGAGTCGGAGTCGGTGTCGGAGTTGAGTTTTGAAAGCCGGAGTCGGAGTCAGTCACCAAAAATCCATCGACTCCGTAGCCCTGGTTAGAGCTCAGCGGTGCAGCGATCATGCCCTGCACAGGTGGAGGGCAACGGTGCATACTGGATTGCAGTATCCCAAACGATCGCTGAAATCAGGCACTAATAAAAACTCCGTAACGCGACTGCTGAGACCTGGATTCGAGATGAAACGATATTCGAGATGCGATACCTTACCGACACAGAACGATTGTGTAATGCACTTGAGCAGCAAATGAAGTGAGCATAATGTAGGTAAACATAAAAACCTCGTTCTCTTTAGCCACTAGACTAGTTCGACATATCAATCAAATTCTACTTAGCACCTACTACCTATCCTATGGACACCAGCAAGTTCCGAGAGGAGTGTGAAAGGCCAGTCAGTGAATTGCTCAAGCTTGGATAGGCAGACTTGCATCAAACAATAGTAACTACTAACTACAACTACTACATGTAGGTATATGTCAAGGCTTATTTCATAACTGCACCTGTATATGCAATACGATCAATTCAATGACTTTCGTATAAGATGAATTGAAATCTACTCTTTTGCACTGTCTCAGACCCACCAGATTGCTACCTTCATAAAAAGCAAACTTCAATGTGTAGAGGCAAAAGCAAAAAAGAGATAAAATAATCTAAGTACATTACTAACTACAACATATATCACATCATATAGCAAAAACTCAAAGGTCACATTGGGGTCAGGTTAGTAATACAACAATCATTAGCTCATTGGGGGCATTTTCAAAAATAAAATAAGACACCTCAAATCAAGGGTCAAAGTAAATTCTACACAATGACATATGGCCCAGTGGTTATGACGAATAATGGTGTTATTTACATATGCACATCTAACTTCTACTTTTGAATCAAACTTTGAATGAAGTTAATCATATGCATCAGCACGAAATGCCTAAATGTTAAGCCAATTATAAAATTGCTGCAATATAATACAAAGGATAGAAAAATGGTTAAAATCCCATTTTGCAGCCTGGGCTAAGAATGGAACAAACCACACCATGTTGATGTTGTCACAAATCATAACAATACATCAAGCTATCATTTCATCATTTAATGCTAAACAAATCTGGTAGGTACCTAGTACCTACCCTACCAGCTAGAAATGACAATATTCAACCTAACCTGACCTAGCCTTACCTAACATACCTAATATAGCTGTACCTACCTGACTCAACGTATGGTTGGGTGTACCTTATAAACGTATTGTTGAAACTGTATTGTAATTATCAATGTGTGATCTCACTATTCGACCTTTGAGACTGATGTGTTCTCTCTTCTATCTTTCTGTTTTGTGAATTTCTTCAGTTTTTTTAAAGGGTGCAAATGGAGGAAATGAACCAAATCCTAGCTTCTTTACCATTCAATACACATGCTTATCAGGAGGATTAACAATAAGAAGTTTGATAAATCAAAATAAGGAGACTGCGGTCTGCGTAAGAAGCAAATTGAACAAGAATGTTATCTGTAATGACTATATCCTTATAAAAGGGGACATGAAGTTTGTACTCGGATGCAGTACATAAACATGATAGGTTCATTTGTCATTTTGCTCAGTCATTGCTCATTTGGCAAACCTCCCCTTCCCATTCGCGATTCGCATGCCGTAAAGCAAACCTACGTACCAGTACACATAAATCATACCAAACTAACGAGTTATGGGCTTAAATCATTTTTGCAAATATCTCACACCAAGCTCTCACCATCCTTGCTTCTTAAATTCGCTAAAACAATCGAAATCAGGTAATCAAAGTGTGTTTCTCACCTTGACTGTGGCCGTTTGCATGACCCACCAGAAGGCAGACCAAATCCAAAACGCTGCAAAAGATGAATATTTCCACAATACACCTTCGATCCATTTCGCATAAATAAGGCGCCAAGCCCTAGGGAAAACACATCAAAAGGGCGCAACACCGCATCACATCACACATCACACTCGCCACACGCATGCCGCACTGCAGAAATTTTGGTCCGCGGTAGTCTTATTTTTATTGTAGTTCACTATGCAGCATTAACGGCATAATGCGCGATTTATTCTAGCGACATGACGGAAAAGCCACTATATATTCCACTGACATTTGGTAGCTTCGTTATTGATCACGTGATTTTATACTTTTGTCCAAGCTTTCGCCTTTCAAAACTTTTTTTAAAGGTTCTCTTTAAGGTTTAACAACATTTCACTATTGATTATTAATTTGAACGTTTTTTAATTAATGAACACTTTGACCACACCAAGGACGCCACATTTGAGAAAAAATCCCAAAGCTGGGATGTTCTAGCTGAGCTAAAGTTCCTGTTGCGTACTTTCATTAGCTAATCACAATCTGCAGATTCCGGCTACATTTGCGAAAGAAGCGTTTTCGAACAGAGAAAGTAGATGAACAAATTGCGTCATATGTGGCTTGTTTAAGTGCTTCCAAATTAGATGTAACGGAAGTTAGCCCACATTCAGCCCACATTCGGCCCAGCCCGCGTATTTACAAATTGCAACCGAGCTCCGCCGTGGGGTAAGGTGGGCAGGGGTTTTCGCACTACGGCTGCGGTTGAACTACCGTCTGTGGTAGAAACTTCAGGATGATGGCGCGTTTCATACGAAATCTGGCGCAATGTTTATTTGCTTCTGAACTTGTATTGTTATTGCTGTGAACTCTTGAAGTGGGAGTGTTTCAATAACAATTTGTGGATTATTTGGGTTTCTTGATATAAAAATCGAATAATATTATGAAACATTGTGTGGAAACCGCAAATACTGATATAATCAATTGCTTAGTTTGGGAATTGATACACATTTTGTAGAGGTTTGTCTGGCAAATGGTGTAACAAACTTCAAGCCTATCATGATCTGAAGCTGTTGCAACAAATCAAAATTGCTTTGATGTTCCATAGTACCTTGTTGGAAAGACTGGAGCATGGTTCAAGATGATGTGTAAAAATTCAAGAATTGTGCAAAAGCTTATGACTGAAGAGCGAAAACAGTTCTATATGATTGCTCAATGAAACGTGGAAATGGACGACAAAAGTAGAGTTTCAACATTCCAGCATGTGAGAATAACTTCAGAACTTCATAGTTCTTGTAGAATTGTATTCTCCTTTTGTACAGTTCTAGGTTTTGTTAGGGTATTTCAATTTCAATGTGTTAGTTGAGATATAGGTACACTTTGCGGACAAAATTTAGAATCATTGCATGGTAGGTACTTGTTCGGTAAAAAGGTATGTGATTAATGCCATGAGAAAGTTTTTTATGATTAAATATATGTTCATTGTTGTACCTACAAAAATGCAAGCTTACTAGCACCTAGTTATTGAATCAAATCGAAAGTATTTGCTATGAATGTAAATATGTACCTGCAAAGTATGTCAATAAATTTGTGTGATGTTGACCAGAGAGCTGTTGCTGTATCATCTGGGCATTTATGTTGCTTCTTACATTAGGTGTTAAGCATAGTAATTACCTATGGGTGAACTTTGTGCCAATATCTTCAATTCACAGTGTATGTAGCATGTCTACAACCCTCACTGATCCTGCTATAGCTATAGGCATTTGGCTCCAGCAAGACCAAGGGCATGAACTTCACAATTGCACAACCTTTTTATGCACCACTAGTCACTTTTTTTCCTTAAGGTGCACATGGCAGTGTACACAATAATGTGCAGAGGGCCTACACAAAAACAACATGACTAGTGTGCACTATGATGCACAGCATTGTACCCTGATTATTTGAAGATTCTAATCACTCAACAGTCAGGAGGTCATTTTTGAATGTCACATTTATTATACATCACTTGTCAAACAAGAGTGCATGATGACACACATTTTGACAAGCAATCATGGTAATATTCCAATAAGTTGGACACCTCCCTGGGCGTGATTTTCCAGGAAGGTACCTCTGCAGGTGTTGTGGTAGGTTAGGTTGAATTGGGGTTAGGTGAAGTAAGGCAGTCAGGATCAGGTCAGACCGTAAGACCTGGTCAAGTTGATTTTAATATTTCATTCTAATTTGACATAGATGCCTATTACCTATGTTTTTGCTCCAGACTGAACTTCATTAGGCAATGAGTTCATTTTGTGTTGTTTTTTATCTGTCTTGTTTTGTGTTTTTGTCCCTTATGTTTTGCCCCATAGGCAAGGGTGGAGCTTTTCCAGCGAAGGTGGTGCTGGTGGGGCAAAAAGCTGTCAAACCTGCAATGCTCGGTTGTTAAGTTAGATTATGTGCAACACTGAATCAATTCTTTTAATTACAGAACTAACATTTTGAATTACACAGACATTTCAAAGCTCCTCAATGCCAACAACATAGTGGTTTGCTAAGCAACGAAGTTCTACAAATAAGCAAAAGTTGGAGGGGCAGAACGCTTTTTTTCTGACAGCTTCGTAACATGTTACGAAGGCACTAAAACTACTTCAGTACAGGGTGTAACGAAATTATCCGGACATCTATTTTTTCGCCATATCTGTTTGCACAGTTTCCTAATCCTTCCTGATGTTAGAAGTGGGGATATTGGATGAATACGTGCCTCTGCTATCGGTTTTCAACTCAGCAGTGACCTGACCTTGTCATGTGACTGTTGCTCTGAGTAGGAGTCGATTCGCAGACGGGTTCACATGGTAGTTTTCGTCCAAGGCAGTTGCGAGAAAGGGATGCAATCTCTCCTTTCGTGGTAAAATTGCATGGCGGCATCCACGGCGTCATGAGCCAGAAGCTGGTCTGCCAGCAGCTGGACATCAGCAGCAGCCAATTGCACATCTGCCTGAGGTGTAATAATCTGGGACTTCGGTGGCAGACTCAGCCCAGTCGTGACCACAAAAGCCGCCCTTTGCCAAGTGGTGAGGAGAGTCATCAAGATAGCGGCAAGGAAACGGCACCAATCAATCCGCAAATTGACTCGAATTCTTACCAAGTCAGATAATAAGAGATCCCATATCATGCTTTACCGCTACCCGCCCTTTAACTTGGTTCTAGTGCCCTTCAAACTGAAAAAGACAACGAAACTGACGGGAAAACAACCAGTTCACCACCTTTCGCCTCACGCCAGATCGCGTCCACTGGTTGAAGAATGATAAGGGTGAGGTGGTCTGGTTGGATGGGTAGCCGTTCGAGCTGTATTATCTTTTGAACCGTCAAATCGGCCATGTATGGGCGGCCAGCCGCTCGAACTTCCTGGCCTTCGCCGCCGTCAAACATCCGGACAACATCCAGAACTGGAGCATGTTCAGCTGCCTAGCGATCCTCCAATAGAACATAGTGTCACAAAATACCGCCATCAACGTCAAGTATTACCGGAGAAACATACTGGCCAATGAATAGTCGGAGGCGCTCAACCAGACGGTATAGGAGGCCCTCCTATACCGTCTGGTTGAGCGCCTGAGGGCTCGGTTTCTGAACGCGCACTGATGCCTGATTCAAGCCACGCTGTCTTCATGCGGGACGGCGCGCTACTTAAAAGTCCCTAAAAGAACGGGAAGTGATGCCGATAGAACCTTCAATCATTCTGGGCTAACGCTTATGACTTGGAAAAAGTCGCGATCCCAATTCAATCGAAAACCTGTGGGCTCTTGTTCAGTATGTATGTATGTATGTATGTATTGACACCAAAAGCCTTCCACATATGGTGTGGCGATTACGGCTTAGGTGACTGAAGAGACGCCCGCCACAAGCACCGCCCAACCGCTGCCACAGGTTTAGACGGCGTTGGTCCGCATCAAAGCCAGTGTGCTGGAGAATACATTGGCTGAAATGCTCCAAAACATTCGCCACTGTGTTTTTATGAAAGGTGGCTACATGCTCAGTCAAAATAAAAAGTACCAGAATGTTTTGCTTTTTAATTACAGCGGGAAGAAAGATGTCCGGATAATTTCGTTACACCCTCTGTAATGTTCAAGTGGTTGCTAAATTCGAAATCAGCTCCAAAAACTAGCCTAGAAACATGTTAAACTCGAAAAAGTGAACCGAGGTCATCAAAGGTCATTGAGCTGACCTGACCTTCATGTGACACCCACCCTAATGTATGGGACCAGCATCATATCACATATTTCAACGCTTGAAACCACGTAAAGACTGCAAACGCGCGGCTAATGTGAGCCGACATACGCCGAATCGCGATTCGGGCCAAACATGGCCTCGAGAAATAGGTCACAGGTCAAAGGTCATTTGGGTCAGGGTCATGAAATTTTCAGGCCAGGAGTAAAATTGATAAAATCGGGGGTATTGAAAGTTTCGTCGCGATCGGACGGTTTTTACGCGAGTTACTCACGAAAAACCGATGGGGTCCGCTCAACGCCTCCCCCTATACCGGCGAGGGAAAAGCGCAACCAAAAAGACAAAAATATGCACATGCGATAACCTATACTGCGAAAAAAGGTGCATCATTTTTTAACGTCGCCGACAAATTGTAATTACCCCAAGCTCAGGCGGATGTATGGTAGAAAATACCCCAACTGAAATACACTACGGCGGAAATAAAATACCCTACGGCGGAGCTCGGTTGCAATTTGTAAATACGCAGGCGGATGTATGGTAGAAAATACCCCAACTGAAATACACTACGGCGGAAATAAAATACCCTACGGCGGAGCTCGGTTGCAATTTGTAAATACGCGCCCAGCCCAGATTGGGGCTGCCAAATCTAGGGAAAAATCTAGAAATCTAGGGAAAAATCTAAAAACCATTTTACGCCTAAACGGCTGGACGAAACTGAAAAATAAGACCACCATTTGAAAGATCTCTTCACCCCGGACCTAATGATATGGGTAAATACCGGATCAATTTAACCAAAAGCATGATTTAACTAGGATGAAAATTTTCGGTCAATGGGGCGGCCCCTACGATTTTCTTCAAAATCGGCATGGTGATACTACAGGCCAAGATGATCAATCTGGCTGAAGAAACCCCTATGGGCATTGAAATCTATGGGGTAAAAACGCCCTTGGAAAGTTTTACCCACGCATTTCTGGCAAGTGTATCGCACGCATCCCCCCAATAAGGGTATCATA